CGTGTAATGGACGCCTTTTTTGGTCAGAATACCCTGAAGGCATTACGTACTACATTATTGGCCAACCCATTATTGTTATATTAAGGCGTATATATTTCAGGGTAGCGATTTTTTGATTCGTTTGTCCTTGAAAGTACCATCTCTATAAACATGAAGATATTAATCGCCTAGGAAAAGCAGGTTACTAGTTTTATTGCAGCAAGCAATACAAATGCACCCCTGGACCTTGATGTTACCACAATCGCTCTCAGCACATTGATTCGTTGCTCCTTTTCTAGCCTCTCTTCGTAAGTTCCCCCCTCATTAACAAAGCCTGTGGTCTGAACAGACGATAACGTTGCATTCGTTCCCAGCGAGGCAGCATAAGACACCAACTAATATGTCACCATGCCCAAACGGTTACGTTTAGGTTCTGTAGCTAGATAAGTGTGGGTGAACAATTAAGGCCCAAAGTGTATCTGTGAAGAAATACAGAGCGCACACCGTTCATATGCATCACCCTAAGTACATACGAGTACACAATCTTCAATCAAATTCGTATACCGATGTCCACAGAGACTCACCCAAAGCACTTTTGTGATCTTAAAACATTAGGAAGTCCAGAGTGTTAGAGATGGAATTTGTGAGTATGTGAATTATAAAGAACTGAAACCAAAACTAAGAAGAAGAGCCATGAATTCAGTTAGACACAGTGTACACAATTTCCAGTGTAACAGCGATAACTAAGCAACGCATTAAATGGAGGCATTCAGTAGCGAACCAGATTATCTTCTTTCGAGTTTGAGTGGTCAAAGTGACCCAAACATTGGCTAGGGCTGTCTGTCACTCATATGTACACTTACCCAGAGCTACAATCTCACTGTTGACTACAATTTAAAGGGCTGAATTTATTTTGGTGAAACGGTTGGCTAAACGCGCATCCGTTAAAATTAAATTTGGGAGGTTCTCACCAATATTGGACACAATATTGTAAGCCTATTTTGTCACCCAAAAGCTGGTAGCATATTTTCTTCCTAACGTCATCCACTCATTAGTTTGTTCCATGCAGTTCCTTGTTGCCCCTAATTTATCCTTTTCCCCCACCTGATTAGTAAAGCCCTGAGTGTCCGCTTTAAGTGAGAGGATAAAGAAGAAAAGATAAATGAATCGCTCAGAAGCTAGTAGAACTTATTTTCAAAATTGACGTATTCGAAGGTTTAGAACATGCAGTTTGGCTCCTAGTTATTAAAGGAATTATTTTGAAACGGGGTTTTAAGTAAAGGTTTTTACAGAAATTGACATTCTTGTAGGAATCGTATTCGCAATTCAATAGTGTCAAACCGATTTTCGAGAGTTTTTCTTGAACAAAAAATGAATGTCAACAAATACTCGCATTTGCATATCAATTAGATTTTCCGAGAAGACTCATCTGACTACCTCGGTTATGATATTCTTTATCCGAATGTGGGATTTCAGCAGCCGTGTGATTAATTTCCTTGTTGAAAAAGTAAATTTGTTTGGACTCATTCTAAATAAGTGGGCTGCGTTTTCAGGAACCAACTTGCACCAAAAAAACCCCATTCAAGATGGCTATATGAATATTTTTTGCTTCTGCCTGAGTACGGAATTACTCGGGTACATAATAACTTCCTTAGTTTTTGACTGATTAAATAGTCATGCCAGAAATATTGAGATCCTCGAATTATTTGAAGCGATGATACACGTGGAATAGGAAATTATCTTTATTTTCACCAGCTCAGCCGAAAAAAGATCTCAACGGCTTCCTTCCAAATTGCTGCATATTTCTGACGATATCTCTTACTCTAAAAGGAGTAACATCATCAGGGTTATTAAGTCACCATTTTGGATGATAATGCGGCACTATCAGATGATACTTCGAAGTTGTTTTTTGCAGAGCCTGTCTGGCCAAAGTAGATTACTTTAACCATGATGAGTTAAACAGCAGAAGATGCGAGAAAAATGCAGTCAATATATTTTTGAGCTTTGTGTGCGCAACACAATAGTGAACAATGCCAAAATATTGGAAAGCACCCTACACCATACTCTCGAATGAATCCACTTTTATAGCTCAAAGCTACAGGGACCAGCTTCAGTGAAACTCTGTCAAGAAACCGGCGTCATTTATTACGTATAGGTATCCTTCTCTAGGCGTACTTAGACATGTATGATAAAGCCCATGCAAAACTTATGGAAACCGTAATACCTACACAAACACACTGGCTTTGATAGCCAAGTTATTTAGTTGTTTTCTTTGTTATCTTAATTATTCGTGTATGCTCGCATCGTGTTTTTATATCCTAGTTTACGGTACGTTATTTTTTCGTATCCTATTCATATATCTGTTGATGACCTGTTTTATCACTACAGACATTACAGAGGGTAATGTCTACAAATGTATGTGACCGTCGTTCTACAGACCAGGGTTAATTATGGCTAGCATTGATGAGCCCAATTTGTGTCCGGAGTGGGTCTTACGAGAACTGCGCGCCATCACAACCTTTCACATACACTATGGACCTTGTCTGCTCAGTTGTAATCACCTGAGCTGACAAGTGTGGGTCACCATAGAGGTGTGTCGATGTATTAAGAACAGCCTGCTTCTGTTCACATTTTACCCCAATAGTGCCAGATTTGCCCCAAGCGCAGGATATTCAGCTTGCTACACAGCTTGTTTCTGCGAATACTGTCTGCGATGAGTCATCAAAGTAGTTCAGTGAAGTAGGCAGATAGGAAACCGGATGTCGGTCTTCAATAAACAAATGTGTTTAGTAGACTTTACTCACCGTCGTCTGTGGAAGTACTGCTGCCCAACATCCAGGATCTTTTGCGGCTAGACACATAAGCCCTTTGTTTAATTGATCGTCTGTTCCTTTTCTTCCCAGCATAGATTCTGCCATTATTGAGTAAGCGCCACATTATGCTGTATATTTGATTTTAGTGTGTCTCATCTGTAGATTAAATATCTGGGCAATTAAAAAGGTCACAACCTTAGCAGAGATTATGATGAGTGTGGTGGCAACAGTTGCGCGTAGAAAACTGGTTACTGTCTGTTACTGGTTAGCCGTACATTCGTTTTGCGTGCGTTCTTTGAGTGGTGTGAAGCACCAGTCTTGCCTACAAATGCATCTTTGTTTGCAAAACGCTTGATCAGAAATCTGTGGGTAATCAGTTTGGCATGCCGATATCTTTCCCCATGCCACATCTTGTATACCTTACCGTATTGTTTCCTGAATTTATTAAGGACAACAGACATCCAAAGCGTTACCTACATGCGGATACCTGTGTTTGTATACATAAGTGTGTCCCGCACAATACCTGCCAGCGTCGTTCAATCAGTCCGTAAACAGATGTCGGGCCACGGCGCAAAGAAGTCAATTAAGTTCCTCGTGGGTTTATTTAAGGGCTGAATAATCAATAATACCTCATAAGTTCTGATATATTTGTTAACGGGTTAGCAAAGTAATCATTTCAGTCTTGGGCTGAGTTAAGACTGTGAGCAATGGTTACTCACCCGGGATTAATAGAGAATTTCCGATTGTCGCCAATCTAAGAATACAATGTTGATGCGTATTGGATAACCTTGCCTGTAACACAACTAGCACACCGTTTACGGCAAAACTGCTAAAAATGCGCTTTCCTAGAAAAAGCACTTCTAACCTGGAGGCGGCTGGTTCGGTTAATAATAGCTTTTGTTTCCACAATTATAAATGTCAACAGCATAACCACATAAATTAATGCTGGTTCTGGGATTGGCCTGTATTTACACAACTCACATTCCGGGCAAACATCTTTTTTGACAGAGTGTATTTCCTCAGCTTGGTGACGGACGTTGTTTTGGTGGAGATGTTTGTTTATTGCACTGGAGAAGCAGCCCCTTAGTAACAACATCTCTCACTACATCAAAGTACATTGTGACAGAATTCGGATGAACAGTAATAGCGGTGTTTATCACAGTCTGAATATGTGGTTTGTAGCACTGCGAAGTAGGTTAAACTGCGTTGTTCTGTGGTTCTTAGTTATTCGTGAGTTGAAACATCCATTCATCGTGTCGCGCACTGTTTTAGTGTGGACACTCATGTTCAATTAGTGATTTCAGCGATGCGAGTGAAACTCAACAAGGAAAAACTGATGCTGGGTTTGAATGATCTGTTTGTCTGTCTGCTCTTTTGGTAAACCTCATGTATGTCCATGTGACAAGAAAGTCAATTTAAGATGATGGCCATTAGTTCAATTAAAAACTAGCAAGATGAAGAGTGCTTTCACTTTGTTCCTGGTGACTTTTCAGAACACATTTATACTTTGGAATTCAACTAACACGCTTTGGCCTTTGAGTGTGTAAAGTTAGGCCAATACAGAATATTCATCGGTACAAAACAATATGGGACAGAGTCACTAAGTATTAGCTCGATGACAGGATGAAATTGTTTGGTCGCTAGTCGCGAAGTGGTCACGACGAGCCAAATTACCCCCTTTTAGTGTGGGATGGGTTGATGGTGATCAGTTTTGTGTTTATGAGCAAGATGATATGACAAACCTGGATCGATCCACATATGCGATTGGTTGTTTAAACCAGCTTCTTTATCGGTCTATTTTCTGGTTGAATGGCGACTTTATTTCCTTCAACTACTTTCGCGTGACTATAAAAATCTCTTATTTGTAAATCCACTCAAAATAAAGAGCTGGGCAAAAAAAAATCTCACGATAATTAATGGAAACTGGGTTTCGGCCACTGAGTCTAGCTGTTTTCTGAGGTTGTGGAAATCGCTATCGAAACCTTAAAGTTGCAATCATTCACGCAAATTCCTAAATCATAAATGTAGCACACATAGGGATGGATAAAAAATTAGGTTTAGCAACTTTCGTAATTACGTCAGACTGGTGAGCCCTAACCATCCTTGAATCGAGAATAAGCTTCAAAATTGTACGTTTGAGCCTCCTATGGTTCACCCAAAGGAATGGAGTATAACCGTTTTGAGAAAATTCCATTCGCTGCATTGCAGGTACAACGCTGGACAGTTTGTGGACAGGCGAGATCAAACGATGGTCTGCGCTAATTTCATCACTGATTGATATACTTTTCTTTGGGGCAATCTTCTACGGATTCAACGCACTGATTCCACCATATGTTCAACTTGGCGTGTTTCATGGCCACTGTAATGGCACGGAATGCAGTCAACAGTTAAACATGTTTGGAAGCGCCTACATAGCTGGAGTGGTTTCTCAGATGTGTTTGGCTCCATTAACCGGAATTTTTATGGATCGAATTGGACTCAGAGTTGCCAAAATGACGTCTACTCTGATCTTCTGCATAGGGTGCTTTATGTTTGCCTTTACCAGCCGTGAATCTTCTTATCTACTTTTTCCGGCAGTGATTTTTGTGGCCGTTGGATCGTTGGCTGGCATATTTTGCAACAATCACATTAGTTCCCTCTTTCCCAAGGCCCGTGGTTTAGTGATTTCTGTACAGAACGGTGCCTACGATTCCAGCGCTGTTGTTACGTTTATTATGGCAAAGACGTTTCCCCAGATTTCCATACAAACCTCCTTTGTAATTCTTGGTTGCTGTTCAGTGGTCTGTGGTTGTCTGATTGCCATACTGTTCTTGAATCAATGGGGCAAAGACATGGAACAACCTTGTTCAGTGACTGCTGAAATGCAACTGGACTCACCTGAAGACGTAAGTTCCTACGCATTGTGTTGCATTCCAGATAAGAAATTTTCGTAAGGTGGGCCATTTTGGCCAAATGTTTGATGGTCAAATAATGGATGACTTCCATACATTTTGTACACGTCGCTATTACTTTCCAGGATATCGCATTCTTGAAGACCTAATTTTATCGCTGACTTAAAAAAAGTGCTGATAGCATCTCTAACAATAAGAGTAGCTTATATCTGGTAAACACTTGCACCTAGGATTAGCTCAGTTACCCCTGGTTAAACGATCACAGGTAAACAGAGAAAAGGCTGGTCAGAAAACCGTCAAGGAACTCAAAATCACGTGACTAAGAGAGGTTCATAAAAAACTAACTAACCGCTTAACGCAGCTTTTCTTTCTCACTTCGCAGGTTAGCCCAGTATGCTAATATGGTTCAGAAACTTCGGTAGCCCTGTTTGAACTTGCTCCAATCAGTGACTTGAGAGATCCCACTGTCACGCAAAAAAACTGCCTAGCGCTCTGCTGGATTATAGTTCAATGGCGAAAAATCTGGAATCAGAATGTGGTCATGTTTTGGTCAATTATTTGAAATCGCGTTATTTTAAAAAGCTCAGTAATAATCTCCACAATATACCCTAATCTGCTGAACAACATCACCAGAAATACGCTACACGGAAAGCCTCAGAGGTACTTTTTGAGTGTGATCGAAATCGCTGTTTGAAAATCTCCAAAGTGCCAAAGAATCAAACTGCAGCAAATGCTACCAATGTGAGCTGACTTGCCTTGGGTTCAGTCCAACAGCTAAGAATCTCAACAAAAAGGGCTGTAAATAGTTGTGGTGCGCATCAAATCCCTGTTGTACTCAAATTTTGAACATTTTAGGAAGCCCATCTTGCTGTTTTCTCTTGAGTAAAGTTGACATTTTCGAAGAGCGTTACGTCAATTTTTCAAGATGGGAAAGTAGTTGATTGCAACATGGGGATAGAATTGCTACTGGCACCCTGCAAGTAGAATGCTCATCTTATAACAGAGAGTTGATGAATTCGACCAAGTTCAGTAATTCAAAGGGTAGCAGCTGTTAATCGGTACCTGTAGAGAGATATTGCTGTGCAATCGAAAGGTCATTATGGCCTGTTGGGTAAGGTCTGAAATTAGCCAACTATGAAGCGCATTATGACCGAAAAAATTTCTGGACTTTACTTGGTCGGAGAGATTTTTTCTATGGTTCACTGAGGTTTCTTAATCAGAGAAAATACCGGTCCGGATAAGTATCAAGAATTAACTACTAGCTGGCAACAGCTTGAAATTACCCCTCAGACTTGGAGTTGGTCTTGGTTAGAGGCTCAGGCAGTGTACATGATCGTTGGCATTTTTAACCTGGGCGGTTCGACTGCAAACGTTTCATCATCGATCCAGGGACATCGTAAGTGCGCTGTTGGAAGCGCGGTCAAGCATCGCGATGGATTGCTGGTTGTCCGTTGAGTAGCGTTGCGTGTACGTTGTGACCTTCGATCACGGTTGGTGGTTCCTGTTTGTTCTGCCTTGCTTGTCCTTTGGTTTTCAAATCAGTTTCTGAAAAGTAGCATCCGGTTTGTGGCTACGAGGATTACTTTCTGAGCCAAAAATCTGGCCATGATATCACATATGTTCTTGACAAAAGGCCGCTTGTTCTTGATGTTGTTGAGCTGTCTTTCCCCTTAAGCTTCTCTTAATAAAATTGTTTGGATACTTGCTGTTCTACTGTACTCTGAACAGATGGCTTTCTTCCCTATTCCTTAATGCTGTAGTGATGCGATGTGTTTCCGCCCTCTGAACAGAGTTCAAACTTAGTCCTTCTTGTAGCTCACTGGACGATTTTTTGTTGTTCAGTATTTGACCCGTATGTCTCTTTACGCTATATACAAGTTTCCAGAAAAAATTCCACCTTTGTCTTCACTAAAATGTCCAAACGTTCATTATATCCTCAAACTTGGTATTGAGCAGTTCATGCACACTCTATAGTAAACCTTTTCTCGTAAGCTTAGCGTATCCATAGCTTTGGACTGATGCAGAAGTCCAAGAGCTTACATAAAATTTCGAGTTTCCTGGTTGCTATCTTGTGTGGATTAGTGAGAAGCGATCAAATTGTTCCTCTGGCAACGCTGTGATTGTTTGAACTGAATAGTGATTCGACTTCAAACGAAAGCATGGTTTCGTCATTGCTGCGTGAAATAAATAAATAAATAAATAAATAAATAAATACTTAATTATTGGCAAGAAACTATGGAATATTCTCATGCCTTGAACAACACAGATGAGTCGGAAGCCAGCAATACGACTCGACGAGCAATCTGGCAGCAATGACAAATGTGGAAAAGTTTTTCCAAAACTAATATGCAACCGCTGTGCGCAGTTTCAAAGCACACCAGTTTTTCACCAAAATCATAACTGCTCTAGGTTGCTTCGAGGGACATGCAGTTAACTGTGATCATTTGGATTTGTTGTTGTAAACTGTGTTCAATCTTAACTTCTAGTACGCTTGATAAACATTTGTTGGACTCAGTCACTCAGTAGTCTTATACTGTGATGAGTTTTGTATAGTACCTATCAAGTTCTTCTCATTCAAACTTAGCATAGAGGTTAGAGGTAACGCTTACCCGGGCTAACTTACTGTAGGCAGCCAGTATGTATCGGAATGCAGTGCTTTCGTAAATGAAGAACGAATGGCTGGTTCTTCCACTGTGGATCGACTGAAGGTTACTGACTAAATCAATGATTAAAAGCACAGGATATCACAACTGATAACGAGTACGGTAATAACAGTTTTATACAACAACCTACCCGGTAGTATGTTTGGCCATCTTATCCGCCCAAAATATCTAGTTGAGGGAGAAAACAGCTTTAAAGAGAAGTTCACGGGGTGGTTCTAGTTGAACTCAAATTGGACAGATTAAAAAAATACTCTCATTTGCATAAGAATTCTTTTTTGACAGGAGAAATATGAATCCAACTAAAACTCTCGTTTCAAATAGTCGGTCTTTTTTTCTGTACGATACACACACGAATGGGTGTATGCAACAGCGAAATAACAAGAGTTGCTTGTTGAGCCACAGATTGAGTGAAACCAGTCGTGGCCTGTCGAAGAATTTTCAACAGCTTGATGAGTAACGTGTCACTTCTAGACGGAAATGCCCAGCAATATCTTGAATATCGTGCCAACTGAAACACGAGGTAACCTGAAGCAGCAAACTCAACCGAAGTGAACCATCATGAACAAGGGATTCGGCTGGATTCAGCTAAGTACCCTGTCAAAACAAAATTCGTACGCAAATGAGAATATGTTATTTACACATTGTGTTATTGTCCTAGGATATGCTACTTACGAATCAGTGAATCTGCCTTTCTTCTGATCGAGTGGAACTTGATTGTTTCTACCGGTGATAAAAAGAAAACCTTCACCGCGGACTATTTTATTAGAAAACACCAACGGAACAGTTACAGACTATTTGACAGGGAAGCAAGACTCTTTTTGCATCTTGTTTATAAAAACTGTGTATACATCTTCTTCTGGGACAGGTCATCCTGAACATTTTTGGATACTCATTGACCATCACTCAAACGTAAACACATGCTACAAAGCGATTCCACAAATTCCGCAATAAATCTCACTTTTCAATAGACGCGAAGCGTCTGCAAAAAATTCTAATCCGTAAACAAATAATATTAAAAGCAGCCAAATATGGGTTATTTTGTACAGAAAGCTTTGTCACAATTTAGATAGCTTTACTCAGCAGTACATTTTTACTTATGTTTCAGTTTCCTTAGATTTTTTCTTATCGATTGAAAATAGCGTAGAACAAATAGCTAGGCAAAAACAAGCGACCAGCGATGATAGAATTTCCCCCCCCCTCAATCCAAGGAATATGGAGGATGGACGCCCATATCGTTGATTCCTAAAGCGATTTGTTATGCCATTCTGATACAAACAATGATGACTTCCAGCGTGTAGTTTTGGAGGACTCCAACACAGACGTATGGATTTTATTCGGCAATTGAAATTGGTTTGAGCTGTAAAGGCAAGCAACACTACGTAGCTGGTCCACTTTCATTTGGAATGATTGCAGCCCAATCCTGACGGATCCTTATGAAGATTCAAACCCGTGACCTTTCGGCTGACGGCTGAATATTGTCATTTTCATACGAGTGGTTGGGCAGTAGTGTTTAGTTCTTGGTTGGAAATTCAAAATCCTCTAACCATATACAAACTATCGGTATTGAGTTCAGTATGAAGCCCCACAGAGTAGTTTGGCCTGTTCTATCCATTGACGCTACTAGAGAAGCTGATGAATAGCAAAGCACGCGGCCAAGATGAGCAGTTAAAGGTTACTGGCGCCATGCAACGTTTCAAAGGTATATAAATCTGAAGATTGATCACTGGCTCCATTAGATTTAATCACGCGTACAAATTTAAAAGAGATGAAGGAAAGTGTCCGTAGGTCAGAGGGCTGCAACGTAGAATGGGTGGTGTAGTTCGATTTAGTTCGACCGCGACATTTTAATTTGTGGTGTACAGGCGGATAACCACAGAAAATTAGCACAGTTTGGTTTATCAGTTTTTGTAATAGCATCCACAGATACTTCCATCACATATACTTACAGTTTAGTCACACTTTCCGATGTGCCAGTCTTAGTTAATTAGTGTTATGTCAAACGACTAACTGGAATGTTGAAAATCCAAGTTCCTCCAACCACTGGACTCCTGATGGTTGTCCAAAAGAATGGCTGACTGACAAAACTAAATCTCATCTGAAATGCCGAAATCCTCTCATCGCATGGCAGTCACAGCATGTTTATCGGTATGACCAGCAGTGGAAAATACACTCAGATGGCTTGCATGTCAGGCAACTTATCTAAGCATTTATGGCAGCTTGATCCCCCTCACCCCGCATTTCATGGCTGATTTCCAGGGTCGACCAGATCTCGAGTAATTGTTTTATTGCCTTTGCCTTTTGTTTACTTCATCAAATTAAATTTCTAACGATTTCCACACTTTTTCTCTGTCTGAATCAGCTGTGGGAAACCACTGTTTCACTGATACCGAAAACACAGAAAACGGTAAAGTCGTTTGTCCTGACGCAAGCATCGCAATTCAGGGTAAAACTCAACTCGCTTTTGCGGTTCTGTTACATCAACGTATTCCAAAAAATGGCCGTTAAGCTTATCCAATGTGCAAAGTCTTAGAAACACAAAGGGCTTTGTTTTTGCAGTTTTTTTCACTGATTTACGGCGAAATACATCTGATACTCAACTTGTTTCCTAAGCAGCTTGGAGAAATCTGACAGAAAATCTGAAACAGCCCGAAATCGGGTGCTTGTGGGTTAACCATGGAATAAGCGTGGTTTTGAACACCTTTGGCAGTAGTTCTCCACCTGCAAAGACACATTCATAGTTTTATAGCTTTGGTTGAAAAACGTATTTCCGAACATTTTGTTACCAATAAACAGGCAAAATTTGACGAGTTGTTACTGCATTTCGCAAGCGAAACAATATTGTTGCTGCAAGTAATTCGTTGTGAATCTAATTGACGCTGTTGAAGAGAGCATGTAACTAATACAACGTGTTTTAGTTGATTGTCTGCTTAACAATACTATCAGTGGATAGTGAATAACCTAAAAGTGTTGTACCAGCTAAGGCCTTGATCACACAAGGTTCAGCGAAGCCAATCCAGCGTTTTATTTTATTAGTGAAATTCTATGGCTGCAGGCATTCTTAAGTTGTGGGAAAAACGTATGGTTAAAGCCGACGTGCAACATATTTTAACGGCGGTCTGCACACAAATCCCGTTTGGACAGTCTTCCTTCCTCTAATTATGGTTTGTTCATACCCACTTGATGTGTGCTAACGAGAGTGATGCAGTCGGAACAAAAGAAGCACTCTTCAAATAAGACTGATGCCAAAATTCCACATTTGTTTGGGAGCAGTGTATCCTAGAACTTGGCCGTGGCAGGATGTTCTCCAGTAGCGTAAATATTCGTCCTAATACCTAAGCATAACGACGTCAATTCACAGCCAGCTGAATGGCATCTCCGAAGTTCAGATCCTGTAAAGCCGAACGTTCGCAAAGTTAGTGACTAAATTTCGCGTGGTTTTGAACTAAGGGGTGTCAGGGCTGGCAGAGTTTAGTCACCCTATACCGGTGAAAGGAGTCGTTCTTTTTTGATGAAAAAGACCTGAATTTGAGTGCCCCAACGTGAAGCACGACCGCCCTTTTCATACTATTATTCACAACCGCCACTATCTGATGTAGTTCTAGTTAGGTGAAATCTCCGAATGATGGAGAGTAGAATTGGAAAAAAATATAAGCAACATATCACTTGGATTTTTCGTTCGTAGGAAGGACCGGTAACACAGTGTCTATAGCTGGTTGTAGGATTCGTAGAGCTCACGTTTGTGTCAATGTCCTGTCCTGGCTCAGTTATTCTGGTGAGTCCATGCCAAGGGAAAGAGGCGCTCGATTTGAGTTTGGCTCCTAATAGAGCAAACCAGCCGTGCGCATCACTGGCTTTAACGGGATTTGGAACTTCCGGCGAACATGTTACCACTACTCCACCAGTGCAGGTTGAACGCACGTGAATTGTCAATTCTGAACAGGCGAACACGTTCACGCTTGAGCAACTTGACCCGGACAACGACTCAGTAGCCGTCCCAGTTGTGTTGATCGAATGGTCTGACGGTCGAGAATTCCCAGTCGGGTAGCGTCATAGGAACTTGAAACATGCAGGACTGTTTTTGAGTGGCCATAGTTTGTTATGGTATTGCATATATCTATCACATATCGATATAGGCGACGTGATCAGCAACGCATGTGTAGTCTGGTCAGCTGATGCGGTACAACCGAAAACCGCTTGTGATTTAGTCGAAGGCCACTAGAGAGAATGGTTCCAGCGCATTTTTTTTACAAGTTTGCTTGATCCCACTGCTAATTAACGCTTATTTTCCTGTTCTTCCATAATCAAGCTCGTGGCAAAGAATGAGGTCAAAACCAGGCGGTATCAGATTGAGGTGACCCGTGTGATCCAGCGACGTTACCTGAACCTCAAACACTGTTTTCTATCCTTGCCATTTTTGCTAATCATTCTATACTTTATGCCTGGACTGCTACGCTTTTCATTCTACTTTAGTCAGCTGAATGCACAGCTCACTAACGCGTTCAACGACGATCATGTTATCGTGAAACGACTGTTGGAAGCTTCCTCGGCCGTATCAATGTGCACCATATTAATATCACCAGCTACAGGAATCTTGCTAGACCTATGTCGGATTGCCTTTGGGCGTCGACTGCAACATCGCTTGAACAATTTGCAACATAGCATTTCAGACGAACAAATCTACTGGGCCCACTTACGTGCCATGGGGCCAACTCTATTCGTCATTTCTTGTTTGTCGTTGTTCATAAGTATCGTACCCTACATCAAGGGTTTAGAGTGGCTATTCTACGTTACTTTTGTTGCCGTTGAAGCATTTGCATCCATTTTGGCGAGTGTGACCAGCACAATTGTAATGATTGCTTTCCCCGTGCATTATTTTGGAACTGTTTTGGGTGTGGTGACCTTCAGCGGTGGAATTTTTTGCCTGATACAGTACGGATTGCTAAAAGCTCCTCTGATGGTCGGCAATGCATTCATGATTATCACTAGTTTGATGATGTTCATTTCACCCACTGTGATGTTGCTTCAGAACAGATGAACAATGTCCTTTTACGGTATAAGGGAGGGCAAACAGTAACTTTTTTTATTACATTTTTATCCGACCGGATGTGTGTTTCGTCATGTAAAATTTCCAGAACTTTTAACATTGGAATTACTTTTTTAAAACATCAATGATTTTGAGAAACGGCGAACTGTTTACCATATATATTGTGTCCATAGAACATCCGTTTGTCATCTTCCTCGCCGAAGAATGGAATATCCCACTAAGTTATGCAGTTTAAATAGTGAAAAAACGAACGCGTAAATCTACAAGCAAAACGACCTTCGATTTGTCGAGGATGTCTCTTACCACTGATCCATAGTACACTGGTATATTTGACTGCCCAAAGGCGGACCTGATCGGCACAAAGGAAAAGGATGAATGTTCCTCTGTTAAACTTCAAATGACTGTGACTTTCCAGATAGCAAATTCGTCCCTATTGGTAATCGACAGAGATGCATCGAGAGGGACACAAGCATAAAGTCACGAATGAAATTAAAACCGATCAATATTGTCTCTAGACTGCGGTCACGGTAACTATCGCTGCAGGACTGTTTGGAGGTGGATCACATTATATCTCCTGGATATAATCGTATAATACCGTAACTGAGTTACTTCTAGATAGAAGGTAGGGCGTTCAAGCTTTTTTCGGGATGACTGTGTGCTTGAACTTTCCATGGGAGTCTTGAGCAAGTTTTTATCAACTCTTATCGCTTTTGCATTAGTAAACGTGGATTTAAGAAATAAAAAAACAAAGATCAAAAGTCTCTTTGCTGCTTTCAGTGAGAATTGGGTGACGGGCAGCACACCTATCGTAATCCGGACAATCTTCACCGCCTTTAAACATTTTGAGGACGAACAACACTACTAAGCTTTGTAGAAGCCAAAGAATAACTTGGCAAGAACAAAACGGTAAACGCATGCAACATTACTCCACCAAAGGAAGAAACCAGTGGCCACAAAAAGGGACACAATTTGAGTAAAGAACTGTACCTTGCTTTCCAAGGACTGACTGTAACCCCGCCTTTAGTCGCACGATGATGCCACTCCTTGCAGGACGTACAGCTGCTGTCAACTGCTTATAGGTTTGTAATGAAATATGAGCAAGTCCACAAGTGGTCTGATACCATGAAAGTAACTCTATCAGTAGTCCACTAGTGTTTCGAAATCGGAGACCACAAGATAATTCAGCAGCCAATCGATTTTGGGAAGTGTTACTGCTATGATCGAAGCATGCTCCTACTGTTAATACGAGTAGCAAACCGTTGCTTCATCTTTATTTAGGGGCAGCTGGAGATGTTTGCATCAGTGAATAGTTTCCTGCTCGTGGTTGCCGAGAGAGTTTCGTGCTCCTCAGGATCAGAGTGTGTGTTTGAAAAGTGCATCTGTATTCATCACTCACTGAGTGTTACGCTAGGCTGTTTGCTGCTCTCAGTGACTTCCATTTTGCATAGTTATAAGGAGTTTCAAGGAATCCTCTGGCTTGCTCGGAACATCAACCTGATTTATTAGCCAGGAAACTGAGGAAACAGATTTTGCTGCAATTCATGTGGTACTTATCTCAACATCTTTGTAAGTAGGAATGATTCTTTTGTTTGCCAATGATAGTGAGAATGGAAAAAAACTAGTACTCAGTTTAATCGACCGGATGGAAAACCATTTTTGCATTTGAGTGCAGTGTGAAAAAAGCACTTCAAGAATCCCATCTTACGTGCGGCCAGTCACGTCAAATGAAATATGACCGGATCTTGCTCTATTGTAAAACCCTACTTTTCGGGGCATTTTTTGGGACTCATAGCAAAATACCATAGTTCAGTGATATGATACATGACGGTCGTATAGGCTATACCATTCGAAATGCTGTCCAGCACTTTGCTAGCGCAGGAGCATTTGTCTAGGAAAACTTGTGACCGTCTTTCCCCGGAGTCGCATACACGATCGTTTCCCAGTTTATTTACGAACGTTCTGTGGTCTATATATTCATGCGTATGGACTGCTTCAAAAGCCAAGCTAGTCTGTGAGACTTGGTTTTGGCCAGCACAAAGACCCAGTTGTTGTCATTCCCTGGTTCTTCGTGCTACTCCCAGATTTATTCGCATTCTGGGCCTGCTGCCGGAGAGTACAATCCGTTTGACTCCAAGCCGTACTAATTGGAGACATATCTTGCATACATGGAATTACTTGGCGTTGTAGCAGGTATCAATACAGGAAGTCAACCAGGATTTACCATTTTGACGTGTTACAAACTTCACTACTGCCAGTGGAAAAAATAAGGCCCGCACTGCGGAACTTTTAATTGGGACACACCAACAGAACAGTTACAGACTACTGGAGAGGGAAGCAAAACTCTCATATGCATCTTGTTTATAAAAACTGTGTATCCGCCTTCATATGGGACAAATTTGCCTGAACATTCCTGGATACTAACTGACTATTACTCAAACGTAAACGAATGCCACAAAGCGATTCCACAAATTCCATAATAAATCTCATTTTTCAGTGGACGCAAAGCGGACGTATAAGGAAACCATATACTGCCGGCATGCTTCATCAGTAGTATCCACCGTTACGCTACTACTATTTTTATTATCATTTTTAGTATCATTTATTTTTGAAGAGCATGGTCACAAACATAAAAAGTGAATGCAGGCGATGAATGCGAAAGAGTAGCAGGAGAATATGGGAGAAAAGAGAGAAACTTCTCATTCGAAATCATGCCAACGACAGTGCCAGTCAAAACAGCATCATGTTGTACTCGAGAATAGACTTTAAAACTGGACTTTATTTTACCCAGAAAGCCGTTTTGGCTTGTGAGGAGAATGTTGGCAGCGTTATTGTCACAGATGGCCAAAGTTTTTTTCGTTGATTTAGGCATCTCGTTTGCAAACAACTAATCGTTAATCGAGTTGATATCAGCAGTGCACCGGTCTGAAGTACAGCATATTGGTGTGTCATCGGTTGTGCACAACCACAACAGCGCAGTTGTGATGGTATCTTGATCAGTGAAGAACTGTTCGCAACCAAATTACCCAGCTTGGCGAACAAACCAGCGACCACCCGGTTGTGCAAAACTTGTTGTTCGGGTGTAAACTGGCCTGTCAGTCAACATAGCAAAAAACCTCTGTGGTCTGAAAACCAGCTCAGAAAATCTGTCAGCCTTTCTAATCTTCCCACTTGTGGTCCAGGTATATTAGCAAGCATTTTGTTTCCAGCGTCCAGGCATGAGCACTTGTTGTTAGTACACTAATACCATGTGGGTTTGGAAAAATTTGCCGTCAGCACCCTCGACTAGCTGCTGTGTGATAAGCCGCCGCATCTCGATCGGCCAATTCAATGCAGCCGTCCCATTCAGCTTTATAATAAAGCAGTTCATGCCAATAAATTTGACAGTATCTTTCAGCTCCCATGGAGTCTGTTAAGTTAGATGATGACTCTTTGCCGTGATAAGTTGATAGTTCAAACACCAGGCCTTCCCAACCCCGCGTAACCATTCCAAAGCCTCAACTTCATTCGGGGTATGAAGGATGAGTTATGGGTGAAAAACATCTTGGTCTGGGGTGACGGAATATACTGTTCATCTCGCTGAACCTTCGGTGATCGACTCGGAAAACATCTGGCAATGCACCGAGAATGTTACTTTTATAAAGCTGCGGCTAATTGGATGTGCATAATACACGATCCCAGTCTCATGAAAATGCAACTAACTAACCAACATAGCCACCCATTCTACTCTCAAAAACATATTTGCCACAAAAAGCAAGTAGTTTTAAGTTCAAACTTGCTAATATGAATGCTCTTATTGATTTGTATACACTTGCTCAATTTAACCTGGATATGAGCAGTGATATTGAAACGGATGAATACTAATCGTTCAAAAGTTTGTTCTAATGAGAAAATCGCAACAAATTTTAATCCCCAACATAATGGAAAGACCTTTGTTGAGAGGGAGTTGCTGGTTAAATGGCTTCTACCCGGGATTCAAAAGTACAGAATCCACCTGAGAGGGATTCTCTGATATTAGAGAGCCTTGCTTCTGGCCATTGAATTTACTGCATGGGGGGTAGCATGCCGTTAGCTGAGGGTCGAGTGTGCTCACTTTGCACTCGTCCGCTAAATCAGAATGATGCAAGGGGGACATACATTACCCAGGACGCTTTCGTACACTTGGTTATTCGCTTTATTGGGGCTTCAAAACTAAATCCAAACCACTTGAACGATCGGGGAATGATACGCCCATTTTGATACGACTATGTATCGCTAGACATTGGAAACATTGCGATTAAACGTCCAAGCAAGTGCGCACTGCCGAATTCATTTGGGGATCAGTGATTTTCGGCCTTTATTCTCCTAAGTTTCATCATCAATCCGTCCTTCAGTACCCATAATCGCACCGCCTTACAACTAGCCTCCCTCTAAACCATATTAAATGGTTATTCGATCCAATGCAAACTCATCAGTTTGGCTGTTTACGGAGGTAGTCAAGGACCATCTTTTATCTATCACGTAAGCACGTCAGTTCAGTCTTCTAACTGTCCATTCTATTGCTCATAGTCCGCGCTGGACGCATCAGCGTGAAATTATGTGATAAACGATGTAACCTTCAATAGACATTTTGCAAATAAGCGAGCGTTCTCAAATTAGACCAGATTTTCAAGGCTGGGGATTACCGAATACTGTACGGAATTGTGAAGGCCTATTACTTCAAGTTCAACAGAAAATTATACAAGGACGATCTTCTAAGTTTTGGTTCTTAGTGACAATTGTACTCAATTTAATTTTCACGGGAGACTCAAGTGAATTTCTCGTTTATTATGTTCTTCAACTGAGTACGCTGCACACAGATCGCCCTCAAGTTTTAGTTGGTACGGTATTCGAGATATCACAGTGTATTTTCATAAGGAAAACTATTCACAAGGTTGTCGAAGAGTTCTCAGCAACCCTGTGAGCAGCTTGTTTTAGTTATTAGTATTCCCCATACCAGTTAAATGTATCCAAGAGCGCACGGAGGATATTTCCCCGAATGGTGACGAAACGTCTGCTAGTGAATTTTGATGCTCGGCAAATAGACCAACGGTCGCATGATCAATTACCACTGAACGCACCTGAGTTATCAATACTCCAGCACATTGCAAATAATTTAAGGTTTTGTTTGCCGTTGTACGTGTTGCGAGACTGGACAATAACCACCTCGCGTTGCTAGTAACTTCCAGTCTTCCTTCCTCCTAACCTAACATTTCACCGGGTTGGATAAACAGTCTGCCATTAAATAACGGTAACGGATGTATCGTAGAATCAAGGAAGGTAGCCCGTGCAGCGCTGCCTAATACTTGGGTTGCAACTTCACCTAATGCCATTCAGCATAGAAAGCAGGTTGCTGAGGTCAAGGATGAATCAGGGCCTGTTAGTGCTTTACACACCTATGGGATTCGGAGAGTATAGGAATACGTTCTTCTCATCAGAAACGCTTCCTGCATCAGACAGAAACTCTTCAAGATAACTTACATTGTTTTTAGTGGGCGTATTAGCATCCAATTATTTGTGATTTGGAGGCGATGCTTAAAGTGTCCCGAGACTAGATGTATTATTCAGTGTAAATAGTACTACTTCCCAGTTTAACCAGATTTCTCATTGCGCAGTGACGAATGCAAAACGGTTTATTAAATTTTGCGCGTCTAGCACATCAACTCATACGAATATAGCAGTTCTTTAAAGTAGGCCAACCTCCAAATATTTCCTTCACAGACTGACTGCTCTCCATTCCTGTTCAGCATTATCCCACACCTGGACGAATTGCCTCTAAACTACAAGCTTAGAGAGTCGCATTTTCCAAATCCCGCCATTTTCACCTGTGTGTCAATGAATTTTGCTTTTCTAGCAAACAAGACTTCTAGAAAGACCACCTACGATCTGAAAATCTAAGTTGAGACCTCACTTGAGGAACCGAAGGAATGATGTATGAGCCCAACGGTTAAATTAGCTAGGGATTCAACACATACCATCACAGTTCGTTCTGTTTTTCAACAGACCAGAAAAGGTGTCTGTCATGAGTGTCAACAACAGTGGTTATATTTCACTCTAAATAGAATCGGTTGGTTTCATTTCGTAAAATGAAAACATGCAGTCAGGGGACACAATGTAAAGGGAAAATATTAACCTGAGGTGGTGATATGTGTTTGATTTACTTCGATCCATAATACTGGCTAAGGTTTAAACACGTCTCATTTTAACTTTAAAGATGTGTGATATTAAAAAGTCGTTAGTCAAAGAGCCAGCCAAAACGTGCTCACACGAAAGACAGGTTACTCAATATACTGTCTACATGTGAGTTTATCACATTACCGAACAACTAATTGTTGTCCAACACCTCAGTAATCAAACTACCAGACAGAGAATCGGGAGTTAATGACTACATATAATTTCATCAGGTGCGCACTGCTGACGGTTCCCAAGAGCGATAAATCAGTGGGAGATTTTTTCGCTGCTTTTCGTCATACACCTGCTTGACTTACCTGAAGAAAGTGGCATTAGAAATTTGCAAACATCCTCACACTACTACATGTCTTATTGTGTTCGATGTCTCACGTTTGATCCAGGTACCGCTCACGTATATGCAAGAAAGTAAAATAGGATACATCAGTCTTGCCCTGTATTGGCAAATTTTTCATTCGACAGTTCGTTGTTCATCCAACCAGATAGGACTATGTTTGAGTCAGTTCGAATTATCGATTAAACTATCTGCCTGGCGGTGAATTATCAGGATGCTTTATCTAGTGCAGTCCTTGAGCTAAATTACTACAAAGCATGAACTTGTATTTCAGTTTGCAACACTGGGTTAAGGTTAACTGATCCGGGGACGAGGGTCCAGCGTTTTAAGCTCGGGAATTTTGTGTTTGGTCATCTTATGCCATTCCAATTAAAACTCCTACTTGGCTAAGCTTTTCGAGATCCGATTGCATCTTTCCTCAAACACGGCTGATTGGCTCCATATCCTCACTGCTTATTTGGCATTCGGGCGAAAGGTTGTGCCTCACTAAACACATGAGTTTTTATTGACTCATTATCGTAAATCACTGCGAAAAAGTCGACCGCTTCAAATCGACGCAGTAAAAGGTTGGTTAAATTGTCGGTTAACTGCTTTGAAAGGCTCCGTTAATGTCCAACCGATTGTACGTGGGCGATTTACCAGTTCAGGCACTCTAAAATCATCGAAGCTTATTTGCACGGATTCGCATCTTCACTCATTTTTTCTACGGATATGTTGACTTATTCCGGAGTTTACCGTGTCCACTGGACAAGGGTGATTCGTAACAATTTATAAAAGGACAAATGCTAAGTCGAAATGGGACCATTTCAGGAGTAAAAACAATTAGAGGCAGTTGATGAAGTATTTACTGTGAAAACCATGCAGTTTGAAATAGACAAAAGAAAACGTACAAATACCACAGGTTTTGTAACAGCTCTGGTTAGAAATAGTACGTCTCCTGAATCTTTGTAGAAAAAGTTCTTCAATTTTCTTTCCATTTTAACGGGTTTGTTTGAATGGTGTAAACCAGTAACATTAGTTTCGAAGCATTGGGTTTAACGCTTTACATTCCATCGGGAAGGTTACATTCCTGAAATTAACCTCAGAACAGTATTGGAATACTGTAGAGAGGCACATGTAAGCACATAGTCGTTCTTACGTGAATGGATGAGACCAGGGCAAGTGAATCTTCATAAAACGGGTCAACAATCCATCCACTCTGTCTGTATTCATTACTCGCAACTGGCTTTTGTTTGAAGTAAGGAGTTTTTGACGCGACTGGAATGTAATTAACAAGAAGATCACCCTGGTATTTATCCTCCTGTGTAGAGAACTGTTTCTGGGATGTAAACAGACAGGATGTACAAAGAGCCCATGGGTTCGGAGCTGCTAGACCTTTGGGAGAAGTACGTGAAGGAAAGTAACCTGGACTATTTGTTTGTGACTTGGAGAGGGGGTACTGTGAGAAAACTGGTCATCGAAATACAATCAGTACTGCGTCCAAAGTGTCTAGGATCTTGGCTTAACACTTACATTCGATGGAGCTAAAATCTTTGGCCGAACAAAGGCGTTACTGAATCCCTATCAACAAGCAAGCTAAACGTTGTTTTCTTTGTTTGCTAATCTGTTCGCCGAACTGCCCGTAAGGTAATGAAGAAAGAAATCACTCTGGTATTCATCCTCCTGTGTAGAACATTGTTGCTGGGATGTATACAGACAGGATGTACAGAGACAGATCCCATGGGTTCGGGGAAGCTAGACCATTCGGAGGAGAACGTGAAGGCCATTCGTTCGTGAGTCGGAGAGGGGGCACTGTGACAAAACTGGCCACCAAAATGCAATAAGTACTGAGTTAAAAGTGTCGGGAATTTTAGCTTAACACTTACATTTGATGGAAATGAAATCTTTGACCGAACAAAAGTGTAACTGAATCCATATCATAAAGTAAGTTAAAGGTTGTTTTCTTTGTTTGCTGATCCCGAACTGCCTGATCAGCCGTTTGATCAACACTCATATTCTTCAACACTGCCTTGATTTCAATGTCTGCAGAAAGTAGAATATCGGTTGTCTAATATGTTCTGCTCGTGGAATATTAGCATGATCGTTCGGTTTTTTCCTGCGCTCCGATACTACCTGATAGTTGCTATCCAGTGGCATTTTGCCGGAGCCTTTAAGGACCAGCGGTTTGTAGTTTGGCCTATTTTTCATACCCTGATTGCCAAGAAACCTAATCATTTGAGATGACCAACATTCTACAAGACTTTCTGGTCACCACTTAATATACGCTAGTTCACTCAGCTATTAAATCTCTGTCAATAGACACACACACACACATACACACACAGAGATTATTTCAGCCCCCGCAGGGATCGTTCTGCGGCTAGGTTCACTTAATCAGCTTGAACACTCCTACTGCGGTGTACGTTCTTGGTATACTTGCACGACCGTGTAAGACTAAACATGTTCTATGACCAAAAAAGCGACAGACATAAGGCGAAATCTGGTTGCGATTGCAAGAACAGGGCTAAAAATGGGGGAAATTTTGGAACCAATCACTGACAACCACGGGCATAAGCTCCAGTTTTCAATGGATACAATTCAGAATTATGTTTCAATCTTGAAACGAACAGAACACAACCAGTTTTATTCACTTGGTTGGAACCCGTTGTGAAACTACGTGTCTGACTTTGAAAACTGAGCTAACTTCACAGCACGAATCGTGTTACTGGAAACTAAGTACAGTTTAGATTGAGTGTAACTCTATACAACCATTAGGAGCTTTAGAAGACCACGAGTACCCTGCATTCCGACCCCCTTTTAACAAGTACATCAATAATTCCCGTCAGCTTTCTTGGAATTATCTCTCCCAGCAATTTCTTACGGCAAAACCTGTATTTTGGCCTAACAGAAGATTCAGCTTTGAAAGCTTCACCTGAACGTCAACTTATACTCAACAGTTGTTTTCATCAGCTTGGAAGATTTTGGCGAAACTCACTGGTTCAGCTCGCTGAATGCATTGAAAGCTTGGTTTGAATTTTGCTACTAACCCTCAGCGTAGTTCAAATCAGTGAACAGGTAAATAGAGTATACTGAAATGATAGTTGGTCGTATAAACCCCGTAAGCCTAATGCACACCCTTTGACACTGTAGGCGCCAGATATGGTCACTGGACTCAGATCGGAACATTAGAGGAACGAGCCTGCTCCGGGGGTCGCGGTTTCCGGTCAACAACGCTTGTGCGCGTGATCACAGTTGTTGCTTTCTTATTAACGGATTGTTTTCGAATTTGACTTGTTTCGTCATGTTGTGAAAACATGAAAGACGAGGTCATTTGTTCGACTTTTCTGTAAAACGTGCTCCATGGTTGATGATATACAGCTCCGTGTCACAATCCGGTGCTTCAGTGTTACAAGGTTCACGAGCCTAAGAAGCTTTTCCAAAGGGCTTCAGAGACGTGTTGGAACAAGTATCGATCCATTTTGTCAATATTAGTGCCACTGAAAAGTAGTTGAATACACATTTAACGCGCAACCTAGAATTATCAGTAAAACACAGTCAGTTGGCATTGCTTCCCGTTTGTCCCCCAGAATGTTCCTCAAGAAGTGAACAATAAGTTCCATCATTTCTACTTCAAGTAGGTTCGAACTCGGTTTCACTGCGTGGCGTGGAAACGTTTCCTCAGAAGACCGGTAATCAACACGAATTCGGTTTAAGCGGCCTCCTTGACCGTAAAGTAGATACATGGGGCGGATGCGTACACCTGTGCCAGAGTGCTTTCAGTCATTCGTAAAAGTTGGTTCTGACCCGTCATCCCTGTGGTCGAGCACTCTGAATCCTTCCACTTTGAAGTTAATTAGAAGGACCATACTAGTGAAAACATGAAAGTTTTCGGCTTTTGTGTAGACAAACCATAGAAGCTGTTGGTAGCTACAGATACTTCAGTAGTTTGGCATACCAGACTCACTATATGGTAACATGCAGATGAACAGGTAGTCGTGTGAGAACTTGTTTGAATCCGTCAGTTGAAAAAACTGGTTGTGAAAGCCCAAGTAAATGTCGCCGAACCTAGAGCTGGCTGATATCCCAACTTTTCTATAAGGATGACTCGTGGGAGTATGGAGAATCAATAACGCATTTCCTCAAATTAGTTTAGTTTATAACCAAATGAAGCAGTGTCGGTTTAAATGGTTAGACCAGTGTATCAATTTAACGGTTTGTTTGCACCATCCAATTAATGAGAACCCAGCAAGTGGAACAACTGGAAATTCATCTTTTGGGTTCATTTACAAAATGGATAAAACTTCTGACTGCTTCAAATTTTCTAAGTAATATAGTTATTTATTGAATTTACGAACATATTTCAAGGTTTACATCAGCCTAGTGCATTAGGCATGTTTTTTCGTATGAGGTCAAATTTAGCCTACAGAAAATTGTGATGCCCTAAAAATGGTGACATCCTTTATCTATGTACACACGTCATCATCCTTTTTAAAAACTTCACAAGTAACATAAAATGGGGTAGGACTATCAGATGCATGATCAAATGCGTGGGTGGATTTTCTGTCTTGGAAAGCGGAAGGCCCAATATTCAGGAAAGATTCAATTCACAAAGAAACTCAGTCGAGTAAGCTTCCAAATCTGGTAGCTAGCTAACGGTGGTTAATTCTGTTGCTTACTCACCACCGATCAATTCAACGTTAAACAATTGAGAAAGCATTGTGAAATGATAGGCTTGTACAATGCTAATTAGAGAGGTTCCAAGACTGCTTGAAAGAGTCATTGAGGTTGGACAAAGTCCCGCATCGGAATTTGTGTTGTCTAATAAAGTTAATCAAAAGTCGCCTACAGCAGGTGACATTTCAAATTGAAATCGAAGTTATGCACAAATTTCTGGGAACCTTACGAGATCGAACCCTAACTGAAAGCAAATATACATAAACGTTTGTATAAAATTGTATGAAATTGTATAAAATTGTCTGTGCGACTAACTTTTCTTGTTTCTTTCTATCGTCGAATTCATGCGGATGTTCAAAGCAACCATGCCACACTTCAAAGTAAGAATCAGTTTTAAAAATAACGCTAGTCACTAAAACCTCGTGGTTAAAAATTTGGATGTATGGACTTCAAGGCCAGAATCCTGTTATGTGTGAATGTGCGTGGAGGCAGAGGAACTGTGGGCGATTAGGGATAGGCGACAGTTGAGATATGACCCTCAGCTGCGAAAATTCATCCTGCCTCTTCTAGAGCAATCACACTACCCACAGGGCTGCTGAGAACACTTCGACGGTCCACGACCGGTTTCGCCTTCCTTACGGATAAGTGAGTAGGAGCAGTCCGCATGTTTCATTTTAAAAACAAATTTAACTCATTTGGCGAAAAATAGTAATTGTTTAGCTGAGTTGAGAGAAATGGATGACTGGCCTGAAGCCCGGGTGAACTATTTGATCATGGTTCAGAGGGTGAAAGCAAAAATGGACTGACAAACGGCTTTTTTAGTAGCCTAGCCAGTAATGTGGCCCGTCAGGCAAACACACTGCAATGTCCCGAATATTATGCAAACTGAAAAAATGGAATGGTCTCTGTGCGGCACATTCAGAAGAACAATACTTCAAACGAGAGATTTCGCTCAGATTTCACGGCGCTCCATTGTTGCCAACAACGTTATTTGCAAATGAGTGTGCTTCGCTCCATACAAACTACTTAATAGGCACGTCTCACTTTCCATCAAATCAAAAAGAGGGGCCGAATAAAAGCCAGCCCCGTAGTATGATCTCACCTTGATACGTGGCTAACCTTAGCCAAAGCTGGGTTATTTGAATGCTGCCTAAACATTGTCATGCTGATAAAAAAGATTTCACGGTAGGATGACCAGTCTAAAGCACCATTCATTGAGATTCAAAGTTTACGAAGCTAGAAATTTTGAGGGTTCAGGTGCATACTATTTCCTATCTCTTGGTCGCGTTTGTCCAATCAAACGCTGATTTCGTGCTCGCTGAACACTGTTGGCTAGAAATGGCCTATCAAACCGCACCGCCTTGATAACACTTAAACTCAAGAGGAAGGAGTTGCAGCACGAAAAAAAATTGTTTTTTTTTCAATCCACGGAATCTCACGGAGGCCAATCCTGTAGGCACATTCTGCTGGACTGCCTATCCGTCAGGAACAAAGAGCACCGTGCTATAAGATTTGCGCTACTCACAGCACCGAGAAAACGCCAGATATAAAACCCCATGAAAAATCCAGGTATTGTTTTATTGTGGTTGAAATGTACTTGTTGGGAAAATTAAAACGTGGCCTGCTTTGTTGGAACAAAGCGATCAGCATAAAACGACGAGGACAAATTTTACATCAAACTTGAGATACTGCTTTAGCCAGCGCGGAAGACGACAAAATCCTCTTACTGATAAACCCTAATGTTGTTTTTTACTTTTATTCTAATAGAAAGTTTTGGCTGGTCATTTCGTTACTTATTCTTGTTTCAACAATTACACGAAGAAATCCCAAAAGTACACACATATATCGCCTTATATACTTGTCAAAACTAAGGGGACATGCAGAATATTCCGGGGACCTAAAGGTCCACGGGTAATCCAAGGGCCATTTAAGATTCACTAACACCTTTATATATAGTCGTATGGTTTCATCAGTTTCTTCCATGGCTTGTTCGAATGCAGTCTACCAACCTGTCGTCTGCGCTGAAGTCCTCTTGTATCTGATAGCGTCTCAGAGCCGCGTGCATGTGGCCGGCTTGATACCCTATAGGTACACTAGAACAGAAGCTTCGTGGAACTTGCTGCCGACCTTTTTGCACGGACAGCAGTTATTACAAATACTAATGGGACGCACTGATCCTTTTGCAGAAGGAAGTCTTCATGAAACAGATGAATAAAGCATCAATCTAGACACTAGCGTAGATCATCAATGATCAGCTCACCATAGGCTTCACATCGTACACAGTTCTCCTAAAATGAAAGTCACATTTCGCGTAGGATAACGTCTGAACAAAATTATGGGTGATGAGAAGCTGAAGGCCAAACTTCCTGAAAAGCCAGAGGAATACGTTCACAGCGCTTCCGATTTTGCTCCTGGTGAATTTGTGCCGGAGACCTAATCGCTATTACCCAGAGTCTGTCATCCACACCATGGAGATGACAGCCGATCGATTGAAGCTTGACCAGGTTCTACTTGCATTCGGAAATAAGCCGTGAAACTAATATAATTCAGCAGTTGGTCGTTGGCCTGTTCGCTGAGCTGGGCAATTCGGTTGCAAACGTTTCATCACCAATCGAGGTGACATCATCAGTGCGTAGTTGTGCGTAGCGGTGGGTTAGTGGTTGTGCGTTCAGTAGTGTTACGCTTGTGTTGATATACGTGCTGGTAGCCGGGGGGCAAACTGGGAGAAAATTAGGCACACGAATAAAGGAACACAACGCGGCTGTCAGGAGGCATGACCCCCTGTCCTTGATATCCATAAACGAGGACCAGAAAAGCCACAAATTCAGCCTGGAAAACGCGAAAATTTTGGCATACGGAGACACGCTACACGGAAGAGAATTTCTGGAAGCATCTACGACAGGTTCGTTAAACCGGTGCATCGAACTGGATCCAATTTGCGCACCTCTACGTGCGAGAGATCAACATCGCAACCGAAACACTCAAGGAGGACCGAATAATGGATTCACAAACGAAGAAACAAGGAACTCCTCGAAGTCAAATCAATAAAGGTCACAACCGGAACTCGAAAGGACAAAGGTCACTCCAACATCGATTAGACTACGACGGCGAGTGATGCCAAGTTCAAGGGTCACGTGGGCATCGGCGAATGAGGATACGGGATAAAAAGAACAACCAATGAAACCGCCCGACCGAATAACTAATCGTGGTCAAAGGTCACCCCCGTCTACCAGCACGTATATCAACAAACACGTAACACTACTGCACGCACGACCACTAACCCACCGCTACGCACAACTACGCACTGATGATGTCACCTCGATTGGTGATGAAACGTTTGCAACCAAATTGCCCAGCTCAGCGAACAAGCCAACGACCATCTACGCTACCCGAGCTACCGACATTCTCCTCTATAGATAATTCAGTAGTGTTCTATTGGAACGAGCTCATAAATTCAAGATAAAAGTTAAATGCTATTGTGCATACACGCTCTCTAAATTGTCGTGTGGGTAGCAGTAGGAGTAATGTCCGTGTAGATGATACCACGGTGACTGAACAGAAACTAGCATCCTAAACGCAACTTATATTCTGATCCGGATAAAGCAAGGACACAGTGTCCTTGTTATGCGAAAGAGCAAGCCAACTACACTCGTCACAAATTCGTAAACTGACCATTCGTATGAACGCAGTATTACATCTACCCGAATGCAGTATCTCCTGATCTTGCATAATTTAAGATGATGTCTTCTAGTGGGACTATCGACAATGTTAATGAGAAACTGACACTTCTATTTATCAAACCTCCCTTTATAATCTGTTTGATCTGCCCGATGATCAAACGGCATTCTAGTAAAAAAAGTCGCAGGCATGATAAACACTATTTCTGACGCGCGATATTGCTGCGTCACAGATTTCGTCTCTCTACGTTATCAAGCTTCCATTCTGATGTCGAATAGGAGGCGGGTAACCTGTACTCAAGGATGGAATGAATGTTCGTAGGCAAAATAGACCAGCACACATAAACGCAAGGACGAATTTGTTGTCCAAAGTATTTCAGTGGTAGCTACTCGTGCTCTTGTTGTGTCCGCGAATATCCACGGCTTCACATTTGAGGTAATCAACATATCAAAGTCTTCCCCACAGGTGGTTGTGGGGGGAAGAATCAGCTGAAAGAAGGAATAGACAAAGCCAATCATCATGAGGATCGCGTGGTCGAGAAGAAGGGCTAATTTATAGGGAGGTTCGATTTCGCTTACGTTTTTTATGCGTTGCTCTAAAATACCTTGAATAGACGTGTAAAGCCTTGTGACCTTGTGTCCAGTCTCAAAAATTCTATGAAAACAAATGGTTTGGAAAGAAGGAGGAACTGCAAGCTGTCTGTTGTTAAAGGAATTGAAAAAAGCCTGACAACTTCAAACTCAAAAGGGCTTAAATGCTCGGCATTATGAGAATAAAAGAGAGAGCAGAACAAGACCGTTTTGCTTAGGAACGTAAAAGCGCTATCAATAGGTTAGAGTGTTTCGATTCAACTTATTGTGGCAAACCCAAAAATTATTGGATCCCTATAATTGGATCAAAAAATTGTGGTGAATTTGCAAGATTTCTTTCGCATATAAATTGTGGTAATGGCCCAAAGTTTGCTACCCTCGTTCACGTTGAATTCGATCATGCTCAGGTGTTTCAGTCAACTGCGTTGGGGTTCCGAACAGCCGGAGCAAAAATAATACCGTCGATCAATGGAAAAGGTATCAATGCACTGAACAACTTCGTCATCGAAGCAAAATCTTTTCACATGGGAAATTTTTACACAATTCACATAAATCCACTCAAAATCCAAAGGCAACAGAAGGGTTTCCATCAAGGAAAATGTACTTGATGTGCTGTGTGTTAAGGCGATTTTTGTTGTTTTCTTTTGCTGCAGAAGATGCTTTTGAAATGCACACATTGATGTGTGTTAATTCAAGTAGCGAAGTTCTGATTTCTGTAAATCACAACTACTTTTTGCCCGGAGGCAACCACAGACGGGAGATTCAGCTGGGTTGCAGATGAGCTTCATGAAAAACTAAATTAGTTTCCAAATGAGTGTATTCCACTAACTTCGTGCAATTTGGTTTCAAGTACAACATAAAGTTGACGGAAACTTGGGGACTGCGCCTACTTCGTGAGCACCAAGAAGGGCAAAACCGGTCTTGGGTTGTCTACGAATTTTCGGCAACTTCATGGGTAATGCATTACAGATATACATGTGTCGCGATATCCCAAATATCGTAGCAACTGAAACATGAGGTCGCCTGGTGCAGCTCATTTAGTTGCCTGGAAATATCACACACGAGAGATTCAGCTGGGTTCCAGGTGAGTCTCTCCAAAAACCAAATTAGTTTGTAAATGAGTGTATATTCGCTAACTACGTTTTTAATCCAACCAAAACGCGATTACCTTTGGAACTAACACTAAAGAAAACTAATGAGATAGTCTTTAAGATTAAGCACCCGTTTGGTGCCTACCTCTCATGCTAACTGAAGGAGGCTCGAGGGCTGAGATATTGCCAGGATACCCAGGCCAAAACAAGAGAAGTCGAGATGCAAATGTAGTACTTTCAGGTCAGCAAATTTGTGATTTAACCACTGAGCCATTCCCAGAACCATAGGACTTCTCTTCCATTTTCACTCTAATGGAAAGGGACGTCACTCAGAGCCTTTGTGGTTTGACAGTGGATGATCGAACTTTGGTTAGCTAAACTAAGATCAGCATACCACATTCGGCCACAGGTATCAAAACATAAACCGTCGTTTTATCAGTTTTCGAGGCAAAAATTCCGTTATCTTCGCGATGAAAGCACCAGCTTGAATGAACGCACTTTACCAGAAATATCTTACGTTGGATGTACCCTAGCGAGTACCTATATAAAGTATTACGCCAAAAGCGTCGATACTGCAACCTTTAAATCCTTTTTTCTACTTAAGTACAAACCTGTATATTGCTTCACAAACAACTAATTTGGACAGTGAACTATTGCGAGTGTTAGATTCGAAAGACCTTCGGATGAATATCTTGCCCATATTCTTTAAAAAGATATGCAATTCAGAAGAGTCAAGTTCAGCCGATATTCAAAATGTGAAGCAATGTTCCTCTAAAGAAGTTTGAAAGGAGCGGTAGACGTACACATTCGCTGTTGTGAACTTGTGCGTTAGGACATCATGTAGACGTAGGTTCTGATGTTGGCGGGAATTCTGAACTCAGTCAAGGTACGAAAAATTTAGAAATTTTCCAGCCACTAGGTTCAGGAGTAAGTAGGTTGGCTATAGCCGTAAAACTGTCGTCAGATGGCGACAGATGCCCCGCACACATCAGAGTATATCAGGTGGATATTCGAAGAGTGTCAAAGGAATTCTTTGTTTTTTGGTTACAGACTATTAGCTGTAGAACTACACCATCGTCGACAGGTTTCTACCTCCAGGTTGACCAAACCTGAACTGGTTATCCTTAGTTGTACGCCAGACAGCAAAGTAAGCTGTAATTTTTGAGGTGGAAAATACAATGTCTAGGCTTTGTTTGAAATCCTCGACCCATGTCATTAAAAGAAAACTAGCAAGCATTTACCTCTGGGAACAAATCTACGGTAATGAACTTGAATACTTCCCACTGATATCATTACTTAGGTGACACAGATGCATCGTTGTTCAAGAAAAGAAGTCGGTGCAGACAACGCTTCCGAGGAACCAAAACAAAAAAACAAAAAAGAACCAAAACGAAGCTAAAGAATTATTATAAATTTAGTATCTTCCTAGGACAAACTGTCCGCACACTCAGTAGTATGTATTGAAAAGCTCTTGCTGAAGACAGGTGCTTCTAAATAGCAAATTCATCTTCACCGTTTCCAAAGAGGTGTTAGAAAATAAATTCACACAGAATTCGCGGAGAAACTAACTAAACCAAGAAGGAGATATATGAAAGATGAATGGAATATCCCCCAAGTTGCGAGACCTTATCAATAATGGGTGAAGAAGCTGACGTCAGAATCATTCACGATTTACTCAGTATTAATCACTGAGAGCTGCTGCGTGTCTTTTCCGTGGATTTGCTTTGTTCTACACAGCAGTGTATTAACTGATTACACAATAAATTCTCGAAGAGTTCTGCCCTCTTTAAATTCAACGCGAATAAGTCACCATTTTTCTTTATCATGAGGGTTTGGGGAAAATCCAAAGAACCATGTAAAAATAGCAACTGGTTGTGAATTTTTCAAAATAGCTGCAACAGATGATCCGTAAATGGACCTTTTCGCATAGCACAGAAATAAAAAACATCTTGGAGGAAACTGCATAGAAAGACAGTCAGTCACATGCCGAATACTGAGGACTTTTGAAGAAACATAAGACAAACATAGTATTCAGCGAATGTGGAAGCCATAAAGTCTTTACAGATACGGGGCATACACCTAAAAAATCACTAGATACCATCAGGGAAGAACAGTTCCGGATAATTAATGGCGGACAGACTGAAATGAATCTTGGTCACACCCAAAAAAGTCATACTGTTTGCCTCAAAGTTATTCCAATACCAACCTGTATTGACAAGGTCACGGCATCTGCTCTCCGTTTGCTTTCATGTGTAGAACACTTTGAAATAAGTAGATTTTTGTCGAGTAGTTTGAGGAGTATTCGAAACGTTTAATGAAGAGTTTGTCCCATAGGTGAAGGCAGCCACTTCTAAAAGCACGAAATGTACCACATGGCTGTTGGATCCTTATTGGGACTCACCGGTGATGCGTAGCTCAAAACCCCCCTGGGTGTCTCAAACCTATGAGCATGCAGCCAGTAGTTTGACGACTTAATCTTCCGGCCACGAGCAGAGTTGATCATCAGTGTAAACAGTCAGGATGTAGCGTCATTCCATCACGAAAACTCTCGAGTGAGTAGCTATCAGGGAATTGAGCGTATCTTTACTTAAGACCTTCATTACTGGAAAAGTGCTAAAGTTTAGCCTTCGCGTTCCCCGTGGAGAATTCTAGGATGGTACTTCCGAATGACGTTACATAGGTAGACCTGTGTACTAGGACAGACGACCACGGTAAAAGCAATTCCTCCAAATCATATTGATTTCAAGTTTGAAAGACTAAGATTTTTTGCAAAACGCATGCCTAAATCAAACTCTATGCACGATTCGGAAAGGTGTAGCACTTTTCTTATGTCTCATTCGCAATATTTCTGTTGTTTTTGATACATTGTACGCCACAGATATCAATGCAGGGAAATAAGAGAGATTTACCATTGCATAGAGGTAATTCACTACTTATAATGTTGCTGAGAACTCCTCTACAACTCCTGACTGGTTTCGGTTGTCTTGAGGCTTATCTAATAGACTCAGTCCCATAGATTCCGCCAACCTTATGTTCTACATGAACCCAAACTGCATGAAATTAGCGAACCGCACTCAATTATATATCAATGTGGTTTTGATGGGAAACCCACTTTGAATTGAGCTGAATCTTTTGTTTCATGAACCCACATGAAATTAGCGAACCGCACTCAATTATATATCAATGTGGTTTTGATGGGAAACCCACTTTGAATTGAGCTGAATCTTTTGTTTTTATTACATAGTTCGCTAATCGTAGACCATTTTGTAGTCCGTGTTAATACAGAAGCATACTCGAATGGGATAACTCTTATTGGATTTTCCGTACATTCTTTGTATGGATGACGCAGCGTTTTACTCTGTGACTCGCCAGAATCGAATCCAAGCTCTCAGGATATTAGTACGATTACAGTAAATAAAATTACCATCTTTTTGAGCGCGTACGCCGCAGAAATTTTGCTGTTTTTTAGATGAGAATTCTCTCAACCTTATCCTTCGCCTGACTTTTTAAAAATTTACTGTATTATCTCTATCAGTCGATTTTCCTAAAATATGGCACTTCGACCAGACAAATGATGCTGGTGAAAATCCACCGGTTTTGCACATTTAATTACAGGTTCGCGCAACAGACAACGGTGAAAGTTGTTCGTCCATCTAACCTGAAACACTGGTCATCTTAGGGCAGCTATTTGTGTTATGAAACTCAAAAATGGGCTGAATTTGGAACGGCGAGTACAGTGAGCAATGCTCATTATGCGTCATTGCATCCAAGGTCAAATATTCCGACATATAGTAATAAGAAGTACTTAAAAGTCCGAATAATGCCCGAAAAGCCTCACAGCTAATCCTTTAAGGAACTTCAGCGAGGTCAACAAAATAAGCCTTTTCATTGCGCATTCACCTACTGAAAACTGGAAGTTATAAATCCAGCTTTGTTTTTTATGTCGTGATGTCCACAGGTTTTCATTGCTGAG